AGAACAAAAACTGCAATTTACCCTCCGCAAGAAAATATCGATGGGACTATTCTGCCAGTCATCGCCGTCATAGGTAGAACACAAACGTCATTAGGGTGATCGATCGCTCGCAAAAGGAAAACTGCTCGTTTGTCATGTGGACACTAAATGGATCATCAATAAGGGTTATTTACAGACCACTCTGTGGCCAAAGAAAAAACCGTGAAAAGAGTAACGCAATGAATAGATGTTTGCCGAGTTTCGAATCGCGCCATCATTAATATCGTCCTCAAGACATGTTTGGCTGTTGGTGAAATATTGGCTTGTTGTATCTCTTACGAGTGCTGTATTTGTTGGCTGAGCGCGCGTGACAAATGTTTGTGACGTCCTTCTTTCTTGCGTCGAAGTTTTCAAATCTATCAGTTTTGTATTAGCTTTAGATGTATGGTGCAGAAACTGTTCGAGATGAACATAAAGTGAGAATCGATTATTACATACTGCTGCTTGGAAGTAGTTGTAGTTAGGTTTTGTTTGTACATGATATTTATTATTTACCAGCGGCCTTAGGGGTTGAATTTTGCAAAATCCCGTCATAGTGAGCACCTACGTTCTAAAAGGAACAATGCAGAATTTGAGACTCCTAGCACTATGAGTGAGTTAGTCAGTATATCAGTGACCTTTCGCTTTTATAAATATAGATATAGACATACCTAAGGACATTGCTTAATAACCAAGCAGAGCTGTCCGTCTTACAAAACATGACATTGATGATCGTCGATCTTGGTGATGCAAGGCGTGACAGTTAGGGAATTATCACCTATTTCACCATTAAAACTCAATGTTAGTTAGCAAAACATCCCTTTGGAAAAAATCATTAATTTATAGACTTCTTTGGTTTCATCAATCGTTTTACCACGGTAATAAAATTCGGCTAAAACCACATTGCCTTCAATTTTACGGCCTCCCACTTTTATGTTAAGACTTCGAATACTGGTTAATGTCTTCTAATTACTTTGTCTCTTATTTAACGCAATCATTAGAAAGAGCTGGAACTAGGTGACATTTTGACTGGTATTATTTTACTACAAATTCTTCTTGTCAGAGTGGTCGTGGTTATCATTGTGAATCACGATTCAGAGTGATGTTCCTAGTAATACGGCGCCAAACTAGGGAAAACTAGACTACAAAATAGGGCTAGTTTAAAAGATTCCTAACAGAAGAAGAAGCTTCAGCAGTATTCTGTCAGACTGAAGAGAAGATTATTTAGTTTTTCAGCTTTACTAACATTGGACTGTTCCTACCTCTCATTCCCAGCGCTGCAACTCCTGTGTAGCCAGGATCCTGCTACTGCACAACTTTGCTAAGTAACCCGTCTCTGAACGACCAAGGATATTATTATGACAACTGATTAAAAAAAACATCCCTTTAAAGCGGGTGTGCCAAACAACCCCTATTATTATTTCAAAGATCCATTTAGTCGGGAAATCTTTTAAAACTGACCTAGTTCTATTTTTTGAGCCCGTAACTGCAGTTCCTTGGACATGAAAGCTGCGGGCACAACAAATGCCTCTGCAAATGAATAAACTTAAATCCAAGTTTCTTGTAATTACAAACGTTTTGCGAAAAAACTTACTGAGTTCTGAAAATGCTGGGCATAGTTTCAAAGGCTTCGTCTGACGACTACTGACGAATTGTTGGCTAGTAAAAATTATTAACTTTATTTTACAACAGAAATTACTTACAAAAACTCGAACTAAAAAGTATGTAAGTAGAACCACAGATTACTAATAAGTTAAGTACTACTATAGTTCCAAAATACTGGACTGTCCTGTCGAAGACATTGACAGTGGGGCGCCACCGTCAATACCGGATCGCTGGTTCAGATTTTTGCCATATTGGAAACCATATAGTTGAACGATGGTAGCGCCCCCCTGTCATTGAGTTTGGTGGGACAGTTCAGCGTGGGTCATCTATAGCAGCAATCTCTTCTTCTTCTATTGAAAAGTCATATTTTATTCTTATACGCTATTTTTTTTAACTACTTTCAAGTGTTTTAAGCGAGACTGATAAACATACTTATCTAATACATAAAAATTAGTGAGGCACTGCTAGTAAATACCAGTGTTGACACTAATCAGTTAATTAAATTTAATCATTAGCGGTTAATAATGTTACCAAAATAATTTATAGCTTTTGAACTCAATGATTCATTTTCATTTTATGTCTAATATTGATTACCTACTTTAATAAACATTATTGTAATAGATACTTAAGTTCTCGAATAAGTAAGTACTTTCAAGAATCCAATACCCATTATTATCTGTCTGGAGTAAGAGCTTATCGTATTCCGAGCTCATTTTTCCGTTTAACACGATATTTAATATCTCTATAATTTTGTTTTTATCGACGTTTTATCTGGAATTGTACATTTAACTGCTCAATAATACTAATTTATAGACTGGGTATAATCATCATTGCCAACTTCCGCAGGCGGGCTGCACATTAATGTAGCAATCTTCTGTAAGGGAATTGTCACACTGGGTGTGTTCTGCGGGCAGCGGTCAGGTTGTAGGGACACATTGTATTTCGTTGAGTTTGCAATATTGTATTTCAAGCGAGTCGCATACTGTGGCGCTCGCCAGTCGTTTCCTACATCCCGCTACCAAGCCAATATTCTGACTGTATTACCTATTGTGAAATCAAGAATAAATAGAATAGTTCTACAGTGACCTTCAGGCTTTCATTCAGTAAACCTTCTGATAGAGAAAAGTAACACTCATAGACTACAGACATACATACATACACACAGTGTTACAAGGTCAAAGTGAACGCAGCCCGCATTATGTATGAACAACATTGTCGGTCAGGGCAATCGGTCAGCAGTCCGGGCCAGACAATTATAGCGGTCGTGACAAGGTGTGGTTTTTTTTCTTTCTTTATATTACTGCTACTGAAATGCATTTGCAACTGGTGCTTACGGTTTACTCCAATTGCAATTGCAATGCGGTGTTTTAGATGGAGATTTTGTGGGTGTTGCGTTCTCTGCTCGTGCCCACACGGTCAGATCGCATCAATACAAAATGTATAATAACGACAAAGTTTTTTATACTGCGGCTGCGTTCACGCTTTAACCTGACCGCGGACCGCAGAACGCATCCAGTGTGACAGATCCATAAAACCTAATCATATAAAAGCCATAAAGAACACTTCTCGTAATCTGATCTAAGGGGTTAGTTAATTCAAGAATCTTTATAGATACCTACCTACTTGTTATTATGATACCTACATTTGGTTTAAATTAATTTCACAATTCATGAAGGTGCGCTAATGAATTTGCTATTCTAGAGAAGCATCTCAAAACGAGTACATCTTGTGAAATTCAAACATTTCCCAAGAAGTGCTCTATTTAAATTTGATTAACATTTTGAGGTAAGTAGATTTGCTGAAGGACTTTATTACTGGACTTTTAACGGAGCCCATTTCAAGCTCGTCTACTTAAATTGTTGATTCTATTTCCATAGCTATTTGTAAACGGCCCGGTGTTGGGCTAATAAGTCACCAGCTTATGTCATGGAAAGTAATTTAATGCCGAAGGTAGAATAAAAAATGTTTATTGCGAAAAAAATCTGTGTGCACATGGGATTCCGAAACGAAAATACATTACGTCATTATACATACACCATGTTTTGTGTATGCGTTAAAGTACAGTTGAAAGAATATAAGACTACATGGGCTACATGTCATTATTTATTATCACCTCGTGTGTTAGTTGAGTTGACCTATAGATATTTTTAAAGAATAATTTAGTTCCCCTTGAGCTAAGTTAAATACTCGTATGCTTGGGCTACGAGTGGTTTTATCACAAAACAATAGTCTAGCAGCGACGGGGTTCGAACTTGCGACCCTCGGCAAGTCCGAGTTGGCAGTCCGACACCATCACTATAGGTGAATTATTGTCGCTTTTATTTCTATGTGACATTTTAACCTTTAACTATGGACGTCGGGTCTCAGAGGCCCACCCCCCTTTTCAATTTCTTGGTTTCAATACCTTCCCGCCACGTGCTGCTCTCGACCATCTCAGTAGCTTCAGTTTTAACTGTGTTAGGACCGAGGAGGCATAAAATCGCGTCTTCCGGCACTTATTACGTGAGTAATAACCATTCAAAATTTTATCGGGGTCTGGGAGACCCGATGACTATAATTTCCATACAAACATACTTGTATGGATGTGACTTGTTAACTATATTTTTTTATAGTATATCATTATAATATGTTGTAAATTGTTTTAGTTTAAGAATACATAATGGTAGAAAGTATCTGAGTACATCAGCTATATTATTAGCCCTACTATCTAAGTAACATTCCAGAAGTAAGGTTTTACTTGTAGACAATCCTTCTTTTGAGTTTAGATGTCTTAGAAGGTACCATTGCTGCAGATTCCGATTCTGAATGGTGTATATTTTGCCTATCAAAGCTCTCAAAGAAAGATGACACATGCCTGTAGAGATAATTTGTCTTTAGTGTTCTAGGCCACTGTTTATATTTTTTGTAAGTTTAACCCTTGTCAAAATTTTTATTTTATGTCTTTCAGAAATTCTGTTTATGTTTTTATGTTACACGGTTATTAATAAGCAAGGAAAAAAATATTAGTTTGATTTATTATTAATCTACTGTAATAAAGGAGCCTATATGTGATGCTAAATCAATTAACACTGAAAAATGACTATGTTTTTTAAATTTGCCACAAAATAATTAAATAATGATTAAAATTGATTACATTTACTACTAGATCCTTTATTAACAGTTAAATTCAAATTGGTTCAGATATGAAATTATGAAGAATTTTAGATAGGGGTCTGTGAGACCCGACGTCCATGAGAGTGTGATTATTTTTTCACGACTATAGTTAAAGGTTAAACATAGCTTCTTCCAATACCATCACGTTTTCAATGCGCCTATTCCCTCGGGTTTGGTGCGTTGTACCTTATATTTTATAGGTCATAAAAACAAATGCTGCATACCTTATAGTCCCCCAAGTCAGAGACAGAACAGGTCAGCACTGCCTCCCTGCCCAGTGCGACCGTCACGTTTTCAATCGGGCCTATGAAGTCCGGCTCGGCGTCCCGTAGAGACGCTGTGGGCCCGATTCTGCTGAGTGGCGACGTTGTTTGGTGGCGCATACTGCTTTTTACCACT